CTCATAGTTTTGCTGAGCCAGGTATCCTCCATCTTGTAACTGTGCAATTGGTTTTTTTCCCGAGGTGCAGTACTTTGCACTTATCCTTGTTGAATTTCATTTTGTTGTTTTCGGGCCAGTGCTCCATCCTATCAGGTGATTTTGAATTTTGTTTCTGTCTTCTAGGGTATTGGCTATTCCGCTATTCTTGTTCCAAGTCGAGGATTCTTTCCACTCCACCTGCTCTCTCAGTCTACTTTCCCAAGGCAAATAAATTATAAGCTAGTCTTCATGCCAGCCTATACAGTAAATTTTTAATTGACTGTTTTGCTGTTTATTTGTCTTACGCCCATTTGCTGTATTTCACTATTTTAGGGCTTTTAAAAAATATATTTGTTATTCAGCAAAAGATTCATATTAAAGGCAGGATATAAATATATTGAAGATTCCTGATTTCTTTGATCTGGATGGTCTCTCTACCTACCCATATCACAGCAATTCCACATTGCTACTGTATTCATAGGATTCCCAGTGTAGTGTGTTGAATATAGTAACAGACTAGAACTCTGGAGAACAGAGTTCTATTCCCCGCTCGGTCATGGAAACTCACTGGGAGAGTGGAACCAGTAAAACCACTCCTTAAATATCTCACTTACCTTGAAATCCCTATTAGGGTCGCTATAGATCAGTTTTGACTTTACAGCACAGAACACATACACTGTATTTATAGCTGTGGTAGCCAATCTGTCACCATTCACTTCTGAGTGATAGGTGCCACATTTTTTGTGTCCAGCATGTGCTGTGGCATTCTTTCTGTCTCAAAGATTTTATCACAAGTAATGAATTCTGTATTAACGCTGTTGTCTGGTACATAGCAAAAAGTTCAGTTCCATATCTTTATTGCAATAAGATACAAAATATGTAAGGCTTATATTTGGTGGACAGCAACATGTTGGCATATGAATAGGTAATGTTCTACCCGAATTGATAGCTATAAAATATCATATTGTTTGTTTTGTTGATAACTGAAAGTAGTAATGTATATCTAGACAATAATTGCCTATTCATTGCAACATATTTATGTTTCTTGAATTCGGAAGAAACAAATCTAAATTTCTGAAACCATCTGCAGTTCATATGTCTAGGATACACATTTTTAATGGTTTTGTTCTGCAGATTGTAACATCCAAGGTACACCTTTCACTTTCTTTAAAAAAATCTTTCTGCAAAAATATGAATGTGACCAAGAATCATCATCAAATTGTCATCAAGATAACCTCGGCATTTTGTTTTTATAAAAGTCATTTAAGGCTATAGGAATTGTCAGGAATATATTGCTTAAATTTTCAAGTAGAAGTTGAGTAAAGATATTTCAAGACATGGTTCATCAGTTAACGCAACAGATACATTTCCCTGAGCACCTCATGGCCTGGATCAAAGCATCTCATGACTTGGATCAGTGCAGCCAAATCATTATGTATTGATTGGAATCCTGCTAGAGGCTTAACCCTTCCAAGTTCAGCAGGATTTCCCTACCACCCTTAAAAACCTTGATCTAGAAAATGATTATGTTGCCACAAAATATAAAGGTTAATGATGCCTTCTAATCCACTGAAATGGCATAATCCTTGTGTTGTTATTTCTTCTTATAATAAACTTTATACCTGGGAACAGCTTACCCCTGTCAGTGTATTGTTAAAGTACAATCATATGGAGATGTGAAGAGCTTTTTGTTTTTCCTTTTTCTTATGAAATCATTTCTGATAATAATTCAAGGTGCTATGAATTTACAATGCTTAAGCAGTTTTCCAGCCCGATGGTAAATGTATACTGTTCAGATGTATTTTTTATATCATGTAGGAAATCAAGCTATACTGTCAAACGTTCTCGACATTCACTTCCTATGTTTATTTCAGTGCTTTACAAAACTTCTAATTAATTAATCGGAAACACACAAGCTGTCAGGTTGCAGTCCCTGCAAGGCTTGTGACTGTTCTGTTGTAAAGCTCAAAGGAGGGCTTCATAAAACAAAACAACTTGTTTGTTGCTGGTATTTCATTTTATTTATATATTATACCTGTATGTTTTGCTTTCAGCGCCTACAGAAAGGCGAATCCATTCTAAGCATCACATTATAATGCTTTCCACCTTTTTTTTCTTCATTTTTTTCAGTTTATCCCACGAAGAGCACTCTCATAGCCATCCACTTTATGGGCACGGAGTATGCAAATGGCCAGGCTGTGAAGCGGTATGCGAAGATTTCCAGTCATTTCTGAAGTAAGACTAATTCTTTGGCATTTCATTTTTTTTTTCATTAAGCGTGATCCTGCTTTAGGTTGAGCTGAAATACCTTCTGCTATCTGTGCCTTCTCTTTGGATGTGTCCATGGTAAATCAACATTCTACCAGAGCCCTGTTGTCATTAATCATGCCAGTGAAGAAGGACATTTAGGAGTGGTTGCCAAAGAATGCCATCCAACACAGTTTGAACAATTATTGAATTTAGCTCTGCTCTATGTATGGATCTCATCCAGGGCTTGGGCTTTAAAAAACCATATGTAATAATGTATGTACATCATTACATATGTTTTTAACACCTCTTCATTCTATCATAGAAGCTTAAGCAGCCAAGTCATAATTTAATCTCTTTTTTATTTAATTGATTTTTGTAACGTTACCTTCCTTTTATCGAACATAGACTGGCAAAATTTCATGCAAAATTAATTTGTGTCAGATAAGTAATTAATGAGCAAAGTCAACACCACTAAAATTAAAATCTAATTCTATTAATTGAGCCCTGATAGGTTGATGCAGGCCTCAAGGAAGGCAATTTTGCTATGCAAAAGTTGCTTTACTAACTGGTTTGTGCTACATGTAAAAGGGTCCAAGGACATAAACGTTATATAGATTATGCTGGTTCTACCAGTATGTTTTCTAATTTACCAGTTAAAATATGACCATACTGTACATCTGTCACTACATGTAGACATCCTTTTCAGTTAATTTCATTGTCACTTGTCTTACACCGTATAAAACTGACAGCCAAAATTCTGTTGCAGAATTGCACTGGTGGAAGGGTAGTGGTGTAACTTGCAGTAGTAAATTGCCACTTGGATTCCTCATTGTATGCCATTCTGGAATTCATATGGCAACTCAGTAATTATCAGCAATTAGCTGTGAGTTAAACCATTTACCTCCTGTGAGCAGAATTCCTCAATAGGATTTTGTCTATTAATAGAGAACCATTCCATGCCCCTTGATGTGTCTGAACCTGCTTCATCTGAACCCATCAGACATAACATTTGAATTGAATCCTAAATTTATTTGTTAAGCCCAACTAGAATATGCTTCTTGAACAGTGGAAACTTGGTAAGGCAGTGCTTACAATAAAATCCATTGATCCAATCAGTCTGCTTTGGTTGAGGTTAACAATTGGATTTAGGCCATGGTTTACATGTTAATGATCTGATTATGGGGTGGTTGGTGGGGTATTGCATAAGGGATCATGTATCCTATTTTTGTCATTAAATTATATGCACTGTAGAGCATTTGGATTGCTTTCAGTTCGTTGGACAGTGTACACACATAAAGAATTTCTCTCTTGAACCATCCCTGGTAGGTTTTATGCTTGTTAATCCTGAGATTGTGTAGCTCAGTCCAAAACCATTCTTACCAAAGGTCAAAACTTTTAGACTTCCACAGATTACAAACCTGATGGTGATTCTGATCTGAGCATTACTCACACAGTTGTCCTTACTGAGAATTCTATTATAGCGTATATTATAGCCGCCTAGAGTGGTCTTAACCGACTAGATAGGTGGGATATAAATAAAAGAAATAAATAATAATAATAAATAAATATTGACTTCCTGAATCCTTTGCAGATTTTCATGCAGTGCACATTCAGAACTGTTCCAGTTTAGTTCAAGTGAGAAGCTTTGACTTGGCAGGTTTTGGACTTCAGATTTACTTTGCTTTGCTTGTTTACCCAACTTAGAGCTTGCTATATATCAGCTCACACTGAGCATTCCTTTACTGATTCTTCTGTTGACAAAGTAAAGAAGTTACTGTGACCATTGTGTGTGTTCTTGTCTGGCACCACAGGGGAGGAGACAGTGTAGACTTCCTGTTCAGTGTGCCTTGTCATAAGCGCAACCTACTGAATGTTATCAGAAATACATGGCATGTTGTCTTTGACCTTCCTACCTATCACCTCATGTCTGGCTAACCTATTACATAAGTGTGTTCTGAGCTGGAGGCACAGAGCATATTTATAATGCACTCAAATGTCCCTGATGACAGAAATTTGAAGCTCCAGCACTGACTACCTATCCATTTATTTTTATGTAACAGTGGGAACTGCGAGGACCATGCATAAATTTACAAACATATTCATACCATGGTGTGTAATGACACTTGCAGGGAGAGTGTTGAGATCTAAACTGTGGTCATTGGAAGTTTGCTTTCCTTTCAAGAAGAAAAAAGAAGAGGTAGTAAATCCAAAACAGGAGTTTGACGTGCTCTTCTTTAATTATTTGTAGTGTTTTTCCCATGGTGAAAGTCTTTGGTTTTATAGGTAAACTCTGTACAAATAATAATCCCAGTTGTTTTTGCTCACAATTAACAGTATGGAGTTTATTGGTATCACCCAATACATAGTCTGTTGTATACATTCATTTCACTATTTCTTTCTAAACAGGTAGCAATTTTATGCAAGGGTCTACTGGGTTCCTTCTTCCTTTAGTTAGTCACTTACTGGTGTTCATATGATTTTAGCATCAGAGTTACCAGGAAGTGATTCTGCTAAATCTTATGAAGCCAGTCCAACATAGAATGACCTGGTGACATAAAAATAAAAACAGTCAACTGCTATTATTATGAAAAAATTTGTCTTTTATATATAGAGAGAGAGAATAGCAAGGCAGGCAGAATTGTATGTTCCCTCTAAAAAAATCATATTTTATCCTATTTAATATGGAAAGGAAGGTGTGGGGTGTAGAGATGCCACCTATATACCCTTATAAATAAAAGAACAAATGCTATTCTTAGTCACACAGAATTAAGAATAGTTTATATTTCTAACATTTTGATACTGTCTTCACAAACTGGTGAATGTCTCCATTTGCTGAATAACAGAATGAGAATGCTTTAGTAGAAAGACAAAAGACTCCATCGCCTGATTAGGGCAGAACAGCTGCCGCTGCTGTATTTCAGTCTTGAATTCTTCCCATGCGTGCAATCTTGCCATGACGTATAAGGTGCTAAAGGTAGGTTATATGTTTTTAGAAGGATATATGCAGAGAAAATTACTATAGGTATAAGGAGCAATGTTGGCCAGATAGCCCAGAGAATTAGTTATCTGGCAGTGGAGCCAGACGTTGGGAGATTGATGCACCTGTGCCTTCAGAGAAAAGACCCAGCCTGAATGGCCTTTGGCTAACTGTACAGTCCCAGGACACACCCAGAAGAAGTGAATGGTAAACTACTCGATGTAGAAAACCCTGGAAAGGGTTGCCATAAGTCAGAATAGACTTGACAGCACATAAGTATAATATTATAATGAGCAAAACTGGGGGAATTGCAGTCAGTTGCAATACCAAACTGTAAAGGGTGGGGATCAAGAGTTAAGTTTACCACTATGTCTCCTGGTAGCCAGCAGAAGGAGGGAATAGGAAATCACTATTTTAGACCTAGGAACGCTGGGAGAGGTCATCATAAGTCAGAATCGGTTTGACAGCACATAATTATTGTTATATAATGACCAGCACAAGGACGTATACTACTCCAGAGGTTTATGGGAATCTTGAAATAACAATTTCCATTATTACTTATTTCTTGTATTTCTAACCCTACACTAGTATTTCCTCCACCCTCTGTATGCTTGTACTAACACCACATCCACCTACTGCCATACCCACTCACACTCTTTATCTGTTTTGGATATTGACCCATGTGCACAAAGGAAGTACAGTGGTGCCCCAGTTGACGACGATAATGCATTCCAGCAAAATCGCTGTTAAGCGAAATCGTTGTCAAGCGAAAAAAATCCCCATTGGAATGCATTGAAAACCGGTCAGTGCGTTCCAATGGGGGAAAATACCTCATTGTCCAGTGAATATTGTCTATAGAGAACCGCCGATCAGTTGTTCTATTTCGCTGTAATGCGAAGCTTCCGTCCAGAAAGCACTCATTTTGAGAAGGGAGGGAAGCCATTTTGTGGAGCCTGAAAAAACATCGTTTTGCAAACAAACAGTTTGCGAAGCAGGCTCCTAATCAACGTAAAGCGGATTTCCCTCATTGGAACCATTGTTTTGCGATTGCAATAGCGATCGCAAAAATGTTATCGTCAAGTGATTTCGACGTCATGCAGGGTAAGCGTCTAGCAGGGCACCACTGTATAATACTAAACTTTGTACAGTGGGGTCTCTACTTAAGAACTTAATCCGTATTGGAAGGTGGTTCTCAAGTTGAAACGTTTTTATGTTGAATCTGCATTTCCCATAGGAATGGATTGAAAACCATTTAATCCGTATCTGCTCTTTTCCGTCCATAGAAACTACAGTGGAACCTCTACTTAAGAACTTAATCCGTTTTGGAATGGTGTTCTTAAGTTGAAACATTCTTAAGTTGAAGCAAAATTTCCCATAGGAATGGACTGAAAACCAATTAATCTGTTCTGGCTGTTTTTTTTGTTATGTAGAGGTGCGTTCGTATATTGAAGCATTAGTTCTCATAGGAACTAATGCAAAGCTGGTTAATACGTACTCTACCACTAGGGGGAGATTTTTTTTTAACCTAAGATGACCTAAGGTTAAAAAAAGAGCAGGAAGGTTTTTTTTCCTGTTCTTATGTTGGATTTCTGTTCTCAAGTAGAAGCAAAATTTAGCAAATGGAGCTGTTCTTAAGTTGGATTGTTCTTAAGTAGGGATGTTCTTAAGTAGAGACCCCACTGTAAAGCCAAACCATGGCTCAGTTTTTTGCCTGGACCTGTGCCAGCTTACAAGCCATGATCTGAGAGCCTGTCAAGCTAGGTTATTAAATCGTGGTTTGAAGATGATATTCCATTTTTTTCTCTATAATTACTGAAATCTTACATTATGTCTGATTTGATCAATTATCAACAAACTCGTTAAGACTCTTCATTTACCAGAAAAGGCCGTTAAATGACAGAGACCAAAATTAATGTTTGGAGCTTTGTGATGAGTAGATGAAAAATAGAAACAGACAGGCAGCTGTGATATAGTTTGTCTACTATACATCTGGAAACTATATTGTTGT